ACGCGCCATAATATGTGAGAAAGTTGCCCATTCACAGCAATGTGGCACTCAAGGTTAGCCTGTAAAAAGCAGTCACTTGGCAATAATGAGGCATACGAAAGTAATCAGTGAACGCCGTCCTTTGAATGTATGGCGTGTTGGCACGGTTGTTTATTATGCGTCCTTCCAATACCGGAGGTGCGGAGTTTGATTCCGCTCGAGGGTCGTCTTTGTCTTATTCATGAAGTGCCTTGAGCAAGGAATTTACCACACGTTGTTTCAGACCGGAATTGCTTAGTCGGTAGGGCATTGATGTAGGTCCTTAGTTAAAGCCCCAGTCACTCGACCTTCTTCCTCTGAGATTGATAAGTGAGTACCACTGCGTTGGATGGAAACAGGAGATTATATGCTGCACTCGCCACGTGGCTGTAGAGCATGCCTTAGGAAGTAAGTCACTCTTGGCTATTGGCATAGAAACTGAGATCACTACCGCACCATCAACTTTATGAAAAGAAAGGCTCCAAAATGTCCCAATCATTAAAGTGAAGGAAAACTGATATTCCAGCGTTGACCAACTTTCCTTTTTCCTTTCGTTGAATAAATGGAAACCTTAACTGAATAGCAAAATCGAAATTATGCCTGATGAGAATAAAAATTACCTGACACTTTTTCGAATGTACGCGCGGCGTAGTAACACCATTTCCTGGTATTGTTTGTCGCCCATGCATTACGGGTGCTAAAATACCATTGACCTGTGTCCTATGAAACGGTTCCTTGTTGTAATAGAAGCAAGGAGACGGTGCAGATACGCAGTATTAATTCACAGTAGTGATCGGAATGGAAGAAATTCTTGAAAATCTTTGAAAATAATCCTAATTTTCTACCGAAGAATAGTAATTACAAATGATCGTTGCTGACAGCGCGGGTTGGAGAAATACATTTTCATAAATAACGATAGCCATATTAACAATTGCCCATTTTCTTGTATGTAAACTTTAAGATAAACGTGTATTGCTTTTATTAAGTCGTCCTGTTGTTTGTTGTCATGTGCTATGCAATCGTTTCTTCCATCATCCAGTTCAACTCCTGATACGCTGCTTCCTTCTCATTATTCTCAGTTTTCCTAAGATGGGGTCTTGATTAAGGGTCGAGAAACTTTAGTTTTGCCTCAGAAATTTTAATTTTAGGCACCTTTATTACTGAATGGACCGATGGAGCTGAATTATCCAAGCAAATGTTTTGCAGCCCATCGAAAACCCAAGAGCTGGTTGAAAAACTCGTTCAGTTGGCGGCTGTGAATAGGTTCGATGGGTGGCTGATCAACATCGAAAATGAGATCGACGCTGTGGTAGTATTTTCGCTACGATTTTGTGTTTTCTCTCGACTTCTTCTTTAGGCGTCAAGTTTTTTTGTTCTGTTTCTTTCCAAATACAGATAAAATATTATTCAGATATGTTGAAGATGGTGTCGCAAGTACGAGATGTCTCAGCCTCTATCCGGGATAATTTTCAAACACAAAATCAAGTCCCATCATAGTCAGGGGTGTTACGAATATAAGCACACCATTAAATGACCATGTCACTGAAAGTATGGAAGACCTGACTGGTTTTGAGACCCGTCTTCACTGTTCATTCTCAGAAGAATGATCAGAAGATCAGAATTCACTGATCTGGTTTACATGTGCTTTTTGACTTGGAGAAAACCTTTAATGAGATCCCCTGCAACAAGCTAAGAGCATACTGCAGATTTATGGGATTGATGGCTATCCAATCACTACATGCTAATAGCAAGTGCTGCGTCAGAGTAACTGGCGTTAAGGCGAAGCTGGTTTCCGCCGAGGCTTCGTTTTGTCCCCTTTTCTGTTTGTGTTGCACATGGATAGAATGTCAAGCGCAGCCAAGGCGATGAGTGCATTGGTGTAAGAGAC